TCCTCCCTAATTTTAGCCACGCCTCGCCCTCAAAACTATGCTATCGTGAGAATGAAAAAGACCATAGTTAGTGTAACTTTTGACCAGAAAAGAGAAAAAGCATATAATTTATATGTTCTTGAGTCAGGGCTTCTAAGAGGTAATTCAAATAACTCGAAAATTCGGCCTAAGTCTTCGCCCACAAAAAGGTCACTTTCCATACCGCTTGCTATAATTAAAATTAAAGTCAGCCTATGACTAATTCCCTCTCCAATTAATCGGAGTCAATTTTCTCATTGTATAAACAATTGCATTCTGATCACATTGAACGGATTGAAATAAACAATTGTTGTGTTAAAATACTATTGTTGGTATTTGCGGTCTTGTTTCAAGGTCTTGTGGATTAGTTTGCCCTACGTGATTATTTTTTTTGCCAAAACGGTCCTAACTGGGCATGTCAAGAGTCTTGGAGGAAGAAACTGGCAGTTGTTGAAGATTCGTGCCTTAGTTTTTACTCGAGGAACATACATTTAGGTTTTTCCGAACCACTTCGAAAAGAATATCCTAGAACGGGCATTCCTCGCTAATGTTGTCTTTATATTTCGTGTCTACTCTTGGAGTTGCATTTTTGATAATTTTTTACTTTCAAGCTCACTAAAATCAATTTCACCCAAACAAGAACAAATTACTATAAATTTTGTCTTAATTAAATAGTTGAGTGAAAGTAAGTTCTTCCCACTACCACGAATCGATTCGCTCGATATTCGGTAGTGATTGACACCTCTACTACTCGATCGAGTCAACCAGATTACATCGATTTCGACGATTACACAGTCCACCTTGTGTGTCTCACTCATCCTACTGGGCTAATTATGCCTTTCCTTCAGAATGTCAAACTATAAATAATGAACTGGGAAGCTAGATGTTTGTGCATCGGTGCAAAATAGTTGACTGTTTTTCAAGGTCACTCCTTGTGTATTCGAGCGTCGTAGTGGATTGGGTGGTTGTGTATGGCACGCTTTGCGTACATGTGTCCGAAAAGGCAAGTGGAGAGAGGCATAACTCACCACTGGAAAGTGGAATGTAAAAGCCTCTAACGGCTAGTTAGAAGTTTTTAATTAGGCAATTTCTAAAAAACCGTGTAGGCAACTGAGATTTCGTTTACTTGGTTGAGAGGAGGAGAGAAGAGGAGAAGGTAAAAGAAGGTTTTCAGTACGATCAAATCATTATTTCCCTACAATTACACTTTAATGGAACATCTTATAAGTAGTTGACTTGCTAATCTGGAAATCTGTAGCTACTCAGTAATCGTTGTTAGGGAAGCTAATTTTATCAATGAATCTCATGTCATATGCATATTGCATAACGAGTCACCAGAGTTGGGATGGAAGATACCCAGACTTTTTCTCTCCGACATTTCCCCATGTTTACGCTAAAACAAGAGTCCATGGTCAAAGACTGCTGTCAATTAACGTGCAAGAGGCAACAAAGAGGGTAATTTTCTCCCTTAGTACAAAAGTGGGAATCGTGTAAGTAGAATAGAGATTCTGGAGTTAGAAAACTTGAAAAATATCAATAAACAACTCAGTGGAAGAAGGGGCTTCAATAGATAGGGGTTAGAAAGTTATGGTGAATTCATGAGCAAATTATGGGAATAGGCGATATTGAAGGTCACTAGAAATCTGTGAACCACGATTCTGTATCATTATAATTACCTTATGCCCATTTTTCGATGTCTGTTTCCGTCAAGATGGAACTGCTTTGATTCAGAAGCTCTCCTCTGGAGCACCACTTCGCGCTCTCTTCCAACCCGAGTTGCAGCAATTCCAGGCTGCATTTGACGATGCTGTTGCTGAGGCCGTAGAGACTGCCGGTTCAGGACTCGCCGTCGTGATTGTTGTCTATGCTGGTGAGGTCCTGCACTCTACAGGAGAATGGCTTCTAGCGGACTCTACGTTCTCTGGCGAACAAATGCAAATGTGGCTGGATTCGGAGGCTGCTTCTGTAAGATTTCAATATTTCTTTCTCCTTTTTACATGCAGTGCAGTAGAAAACGCCTTTATTTGACTAGTTTCCTTACGTTTCTCGTGGTTCTCTAGGCCTTTGTAGATGGATAGTGTTAGAGCATGGAGTAGTTGTGACCGCCAGATCAAGTGGCTGTCAAAAGTAGCATGGAAGCTATTCCAGAAGCTTAGAAAGTATACAGATTCCTAGAATTCGTTTTTGAAAATGGGCACCGAGTGTTCGGGAGCGATACGACTTCGATGACAAAATCTTGCACCGGCGACCCAGTTATGAACGTGGAAATCCATACACCAACGATTTAATTAAGCCAGGGTTGTATATAAATTAGATATTTAATTAATAAATTATGTTTACTTCCCTGATCACATTCAAACTTACTACTTCTGGGTGACCCTGACCCACTTCAAATTAGCCACTTTCCGGAACTCCATCACTTCCAATGCTGAAGACCATTCCTCTAAGTCCTTGTGCCTGAATATGCAGGGCCATGCTGTGGAGCAATTGTCTCCAATCTTAACGATCCTGAATTCGCCTCTGTTCTCACATGGTGGGAAGTAATAATAGCTTTATTTGAACCTTCCCATAAAGAATAATGATATTTTAGTAGATTATAGCTAATACTTTTCCTTTTAGTGATGTTTAAGTATCACTTTTCATTTACTTCAAACGAAAAATTTTAATTTTCGAGTCCAATATAAGGTTCTTTCTTCATGTTACTTTGTTTAACACTTCTTCATAGATTAGCATTTGCCAGATGGTTAAGTCAATTAATGTCCATTGATGAACGTGAAATTTGCACGATATGTTTAGGCGAATAACAGCAACTTTCCAAATCCCTAATGGAAATCGCCACAAATACTGGGCTTGGATAAGCGAAAGGGTATTCTGGATCTGTTCTTATGAGAAAATAAGTCTTTTGCCGTCTCTTCTGTTGCTAGTATTAGCCAGTCCAGTTGGCCCTCCGGACCGTTGGGTGTACACCGGTAAGCATCGGGGTATTTGTTGATCAGGACACAGTCAGATAGTAATCTTTAGGAAATTAGTTCTCTTTTTTGTTTAACAGCTTGTTCCACTTTTCCCCAAACCCACTACTTCCACTCTACGCTTGAATTCCCTTTGATAAAAGAAAGTAGAAGAAAGAGTGGAAATTGAATTAGTAGCTGAGTCTATAATATTCCTGGAATCCAATTTTGTTTCCACCTCTTCCTTCCCCCCCCCCATTGTTCTTTTGTCATCCTGACTTCAATCTGTGTGCACGGCAGTTTACACACAGTCTGTTTTCATACTATGAACAAATTTATCCAGAGCATTATAATGCATCTTGTTTAGATTCATTATTAATACTTGTACCGACAGCGTATATTTTAAATAGTTTCTCTCTGAGGCTTTAACGCGTAAGTATTTCCGTCTATTTTAACGCCTAGCCAACATTGTGCAAATAACGCCTTGATTGATTTTTCTTTTATGGCAAAAAAATATTCCCTGCTGTCAGAATTCCCAAATAATTAAGAAATCTGGGGGGGGGGGTCATTGGGAAATATGTTTCCAAGTTAAGTTCGCCTTCTTGTAGCAGTGGTTCTCTAATTAATCTTTTACCCTTAGCCAATCAACACGCGTATTCCATTAATTCAAATTAATTGGACATAAAAATTATCCCGAGCAATTTCTTCCGACAGTGCAGGTTTGCTTAATGAGGAGATGAAGTAACGAAACTTTCCTCGGGGAAAATAAAAATTGCTTCCTCCTGAGTTCCAGGGCTAATCGTTTCCACCTTTGTGAAGTAAATTATGAAGAGTGCCGATGTTCATTTTAAAATCCGTTAATTGAATTGTTGTACCAAAAGCCAATACTTAACAGGTACCTTGTTTGAGCCCTTGTTGTTTCTTAACTTTGGGTTTCACAAGTCGGCCCTACTTGAGCACAGTAGAATTAAGCAAGTTAATAAAAATGGGCTGTTAGTACCAATCTCGTATTGAGTGCTTAGTTGGCAAATGCGAATATTTACAGTTACTTCTAATAAACCGAGTCCCATTTGTGTCGACCATTTGAGGTTGTAATTTTGATATTCGCTAGTGTACGTTCTGTGAATAATTTTACCGATAGTATTGATCATTGTTTGCAATAATTGGGTTAGCATAATCTGATTTCCCAATCATGGAGGCTATCGGATGGCACTCATTCGCCAGCAGATGTGTTGGAATCAGTCCTATTGCCTTTCCAAACAAGGAAGCTTAAAGATGGTAACAAAGAGATTTCGAAATATGACTTTCATTCTGGAGCTTGCAAAAGTTGTATAATAACTCCACTTTGGCGCTTTCCGAGCACAGTAATAAACAAAGCGATTAAGAGATGGAGAGAGAGAAAGAGGAGGTTGGCCTGGATAGCAGTCAAATACACTCAAGAGTTAGGAACTCAAAAAGCAGTCGACCGGATGAGCGGATGCGCGAATCACATCTATGATTCACCACTGCTACCGATTGTCTAAAATGTAGGTGTAAGATTCTCTATTCCTTCCGCACTTATATTACTGTCAGTCGTTCGCCCGTGTGTGTCCGAAAATTGGGCTGATTCACCGCTATCTACCTAGTCATCTCTTTGATGTGTTGGAAGGTGAATATGGAATGCTAATTGCATTCCGGATTCTGTGCACCATTGGGAAGTTAATGTTGATGTGCGGAGAGGAAAGGAGGAAAGTAGTGTGACCTCCTGTATTAGGCCACTGATTACAAGTGGTGATTGACCTCAGAGGGACTCGACCGTGGGTGACATAATTTTCATCGTGTATAATTTGAAGCAAAGGTACTTACCCCAATGTGGTGCTCTGGTGCGAAGATGTTCAAGGCTAGGGTGCTAAGTTGAAGGTAGAATTGATCAATTTTGGGAGGAGAAAGTGTGTTGTGTTGAAGTGAAAATCATTGGAATGCTGTCAAACAAGGGGTGATTGTTGAACTCGATAGATAACGCGTGAAGTGTGCGTCTGACACAGTGGAAAACTTGCTCGTCTGCTAAATCAGACACCATTTGGGAGTTCGATGTCCATCTAAGCAAACCCGTTGAGCGTAATGGCGAACCACACTGTTTAAATCTGAGATTATGCGACTTTCTCGCCAGATTCTGCTCCATGATTCATTCCCTCTACTAAAGATGCGTGTTGTAAACGCCTTTCTAACTTGACTTGGAGGTTAATGGGGGGGGGGGGAGAGATGACAATTCGTCCGACTAAATCTTTTGCCAACATTTTAACATAACTATTAAAAAATATTCTGAATGCTAACTAATATTCTGGTTCTCGGCCCTTGTACACATTCTCTCCTGAGACATCGTTTCTGCTTTCGCTATCTTTGGGCCAATATAGCTCCTTCTTGGTCTCATAATTAGATCTGTAATGCGAGAGGTTCGCTTTCGTCGTCTGAAATGGAACATTTTTTTTCGGATATTTGAGACATTCTGTTATTTCACTCTCTGTCTTTGCGAGATCTCCAAATATGTGGTCTTTTTTCGGTTGCCGGAAAAAGCAATAAATTAATCTTGTGTGCAGTTCTTTCTCTTGCATAGTATTTGACCGGAATTTGTACCAACCTGTTCAAAAATTTTGCTCTTCTTTCGTGTCCGTACTTCTTCCTCCAATACCCTTTAGGGATGCCTTTAATTTGAACGAAGTTAGGTAATGATGTCAAAAAAAGTTGGGACCTAATTGGCCAACTGTATAACCTTCCACTCTTCATTAAGACAAAAATTCGATTGAATCTACTGCTTTTCGCTTTATTAAATCGAAGATACCCCCAAACTAATCAATAGAAATGACTATTTGCAATGACGATTATTAACAAATGCGATCACTTGATAATTAGAAGACAATCATTAAGCAATTAAATCAATCAGATCAGAGGAAGTAGTTTGGTATGGGAGCCATCTTCATTGAGCATAGTTTCGGAATTTCTCTGAGAAATAAGATCAAACGCTCAGCCACCTTGTTAGAGATAGAGAGTTCGACCTATGTCTTGATTATCCCCACTTTTAACTTGGGTAACAATTGCTGACTTACCTATGGAGGTGATTTCATGGTAGTTGAAAGTAATTAAATAGTCATTTTACCTGTTAATGCACATTGAATGAATTCATTTATTGTCTGCAGCTGATGAATCCTTCTATTGTGTGTGTGTGTGTGTTGTAGGCCTGGCAACCCGAGATCCAAAAATTGACATCTGCCCCAACTGGCACGGAGCCTATTAGCATTGTTATATGCACACCAAGTGCCGGTGCCAAAACCCGCTGGCCAATGGCTGCGACGCCAGACGGAAGCACAAAACTCACTATGCTCTCAAAGTCGAGACGCCTCCCTGTGCGTCTACATATCACTGCATCGTGGAGAGTCAATGGAAAATTGGCCTCTAGCGCTAATAATAATGCTACTTGTGAGTTTCTCTTATAGTTTCTATCTGTCCCATACCTTGACATCGAAGTAGTGCTTTTTTTCACTAAACTGGTTGGAATGTCATGGCACTGAGTTACTAACTTATAGCCCGCGGGGTGGCTACATGGAGCAAAATACTCCTGTTATAAGTTTGAGGATTGGAGCAAATTTGGAAAAAATGGCATACAGAGCTTATTGGCAAAAACCTATATCCACTTGGGGACGGTAGGCCATATCATCTCAAAGAACGCGATGGTGGCTCAGTGGTTCTTCTGCTCTTCGATGAACACCCATTGACCGAAATGATCACCCACAATTGTTAAGTTAGAATAATAATGGAGATAACTTGATCCGTCTTCCCCTTAAGATTCACTCTCTGATATACTCCCTGTAAGTAGCAAAGTAACCAAAGTCATGATTTGGTCTCGTCTGTAAATTCACGTTTTATATACGCATTCCTATCTATCAGAAGCTTGAGTTGGTAAGATGCATTTTATTTGGCACATGTGAAGGGGATTTTACCTATTGTTCACCGTTCTGTTATTTAATCTTTTAAGCGAATAGGCTGTACTGGGGTACTTTGAAAACCGTGGAATCACTTCAAGCCAATGGTGCAATAATTTTTTTCGAAATAGTCTTCTTTTCACTCGTTTGCATGCCAAATAGATGGAGCTTCAATCGGAGGAGTAGATAATTGCTATAGGATTTCCCTATAAATGAAATGGCTAATAAAATGAAGAATCTAAAAGTCTACAGTTTAGTAATAATTTTTGGCAAAAAATCCAGGGAATGGTCTTATTTCTTCATCATGAACACATCCAATACTATTAGATCAAAAGCCTACGTGAGTAAGAAGTAAAAATTAACCGATCGGAACATCGAAATAAAGGGTTTTTATACATCGCTAGTGTTGGAAAAGTCCAGTTGTCGAAATATGGCTCCTTGGTGGTTGGTGTTGCGAGTGGTAGTGATCTGGATGGTTGCAAATTTGGCGACGGAGATGTATGTAGACCAATTGCCCTATTGGTTCGGACAAACGGTCTCGTCTTCAGCACTTCTATAAGTAGGCTTTAGTTTAGGTGAAATGTGTGTGTCGATGGTTAGATAGACCACTCTTTGTTATGTCCTATCGGGCATCTTACCGAGATTTTTTCTACATATTTTGCAATTCATTATTTAACACCACATTCCTTCATTCATTACTGGCTTTATGTCCTCAATTAAATGGGAAATTTGTACTTAAATCATTATGGACATATCATTTCTTCAAAAATCTACCGATTCACGTAAAAATTACCGCAGTGTATTGCAATCTTGCAGATGAATAAGGCCCTGCAGTAGGCTATCTGCGATTGGAGTGTTGTTATTGATGAATTACACAGATGACGTTCCTCTGCCCATTCCCATTTGTCGGTAAAGTACAAAATTTGGCCTTAATGCAAAAATGTACCAATCGGTATGTCGTCTAATAGGTGTTGGTATGAATGCGAACCTTACTCTGTGGTCATTCCACAATCATGAACATGACTGAGGTGAAGGGGTCCAAATGTATGCATTTTTGAAGTTCTTTTCCTTCAATCGAATTCAACTCGGTTTTATGTGAAATCTAACAATAGAACGTTAATTTAGGACTACTAAATAAACTACCTTAAATATGTGTGAATCGCTGATCGGAAGGATAACAAAATAGGCACATTAAATTAAAAACAGCCTAATTACTTAAAAATTTTAAAATTCTATTCTTTATTACACGAGCTCCGTTAGAGAGAAGTGTTCATATTGATCTGGTGTTTTGGAAACCAGAAGTCTCTTGACAGTGCAATCGCTAAATTCTTGTCTTCCTCGTTTTCAAGCCTATGAAGCTCTCCAAGCCTTGAGCGGCGATTTAGCACGTCTTCACTGGGAAAACCAATCCAAACTTCTTGCTGAAGCTGAAAAGCAGGAATACTCTCTTGCTCAGCGTTCGTTCAAAAATGCGCCACCAGCTCTTTATGTTCTTCCAAGTGGTCCGGGAGGTGTTCAAACTCAATCTTGTGGTCTTTTCGTTGTTCAAGGCGTTAATATTCTCCTCGGATCGGCTTTCACCGACAAGCAACCCCCACAGTGGTGGCCTCTAGTTCGTAGTTTGGATAGGTGAGTGCCTATTGCTGAAAACATGTCCTGTTTACCATCACAGCATGTACGATTGACACACCTTTGCAATTGACTGTAACGTCCAAGCCACTAAACAGTTCTTCATACAGTCCAAAATGGTCCGGTTCCTATCCCCCAGACCCCTACGAATAACTGAATATGCCTATTCCTGTCATTTTAATGGGCTCTTTTTTGCAAAGTTGCAACAGAAAAGATGGGGTAGGGAGTGGAGGGGGGGGGATTTTCCAGGACGCTGCCCTGAATTTAGGACAGGTTACAAATGCTTATTGATTTGGGAGATTACCATGAACACATAAAAGCGGTGTGTTACTTCAGTAGTTCAAAGAACTATCTGTTAAACTTTTACAGATTTATGGTCTTAAAAAGGTCGCATGAATCATGTGGTACGAGCCCTCTGTTCCAGGCTCTAGTTGACCTAATTGTGGTGATGGAGAAAGGTGGCATATCAACTTTATAAAGCCGTTTCAGCGTGTCATAAACACGGTCTCTGTGGTGTTTCATGCAAATACTCATGAAACGATGTTTTTTTCTAAATTAAATTTTAATGCTTTAAATTTTCTAGTATCATTTCAGAATATTGATTTAATGCAAGTGATGAATGGAGAGGAATGTTTTTTTTAATATTTTAATCAATGTAATTATATGCTTACTTTTGATTGGTTTGTATTATTATATGGAAAACATTTAACTGATCGATACTTCTAAGTAATGCAATCTGTTACCGTTCATGTCTATTGTATGAGTTGAATGGGGTGGCATATAACTCCCAAGGTACGTATACGAAGAGATGAAGTTAGACAATTAAGCTTTGTAATAGACCATTTGATTGCGTGAAAATATTTTAAAAGTAAAAAGTTACCTTTGTTTGAATTTCTACAGTCACGTATCGTATATGCTACCTGCATTAATTTTGCAGCAACTGAAAGCATATATATTTTGAACTGCACGAATTTCATCCTTCCTTCATCCTTCTAATTACAGGTCACTTTTCTATCATATCATTTCTAAGGCTTACCTATTTGTCCACAAGCATAGCAAATAGCGTGAGGAGTGATGGTCACACGTTGGGGCTGAGCCTTTCTCCTCTTTCTATCAACTTAAAACAAAGGCCGTTAACTCTACGAAATTATTTTCAGTAGAAATCTTTTCTGAATTGCGGTACTGGTGACACTATGTGTGGTCTTTAGCGAACCTGACTCATAGCATAAATCAAAGCCTACAACTATGAATTATCATACTTCTGGCTAAGCCTCTCAAAAAGCCGTACTCAGTCATGCACACGTCTTTGTTGTTCTATTTCGTGATAATGCAATGCGCTACTTCGAAGTATCTCGAATCTAGGTAGGCAGTTGGTGACACACCATATATCTTGTAAACTAGTCACTTGCTAAGTTACAGGCAATTTGTAGCACACTTCCTTTAAGCGTTTGGGGCTAATAATAAATATCATAAAGCCTGCCATTTGAAACAATCCTTTTAGAGTTTTAATGACCTCCCTCAGTTATCCAACTTCCATATATTACCCATCACTCGGCTCCCCAGTCATTCTTATTAATTTTCTGTTTCACTACCTGCCTTTTAATACAAGTATTTTTTATCCAAAATATTCGTTTATAAGGTGATAACATTGTCATTGTTTAACAGCGACGATTTCAAAGAATTAATAGCAGGTTTATAAGTAGACCTCCTAGGCAGTAATTCTGTAATTAGTAGAAATAGAAAATGCTCTATTCAAAAAACCATTTTAAGGAAAGGAAACCAAATGTCGGTAAATTTGAACGCTTACTTGTGTTAATCAGCCTAGATATCTTGCGATCAGTTGAATTCTAGAAAACTAGACCCACGACATATGGCAATAATCACTCTTGAAACAGTATTTTCTTCCTGAAAAGGAAAATTTAAGGTCTCCCCAATAGGCAAAATATCAGCTTATAGTGCAGGCGGTCACTCCTATGAAGGTTATAGTTTACAGTAGTTGTTTGCTCCATTGCACAGAAAAAAATCAATAAAAAGCAGTGTATGTCCACATTTTATTAGTTATATAAGAAGGTTCAGGATCATTTATAAATGGACATTGAGATTGCCCAACTCCGACTTATATTCGTTGGCAAAAGTAAATGATCAGCTCATTCAAATGCTGTTTTATTTCTTGCTTCAATTTACAACTTTCTGGTTGGAGTCTTTTTTTACTACTAATTTATTTCTTTTCCTCACTCTAGTCTCGATACAGTGATTCTCCCTGATTGGTCTGCAGCGAGTATCCAAAGCTATAATTTCCTCACAAAGCACCTTCTCTCCTCAACATCATCTACCAGTGGTGCTTCATGGCTAGGGTGGCTCTTTGCCCCGGAAACAATCGAGCCGGGTTCTGAAAGTCCTCTTCTGCTCGCCCCTCCATCCACTAACTCCGACCCCTCACGTATCCATGCACTTTCAAGTACGTCGGATCAGAGGACTCGTCTTTTCTACAAAATTGGCGTTGGCGAACTCACACTCCACTGGTTGGGTGCTGCTGTGGGAGCTCTACTCATTTGGAAGCCTGTTGGGGGCAATAAGAAGTCGTCTGCTCCCTTGACCGTCTTTTTACCCGTCACTCAGCCCCCTGAAGGAGGATCCGCAACTTCGAACACTTCACCTGCTACCCTGTTAGCTGGAATGGTGAGAATGCTAAGAAAAGTTCCTGAGATTTGTAAAACTGAGGTCAGTGAAGCTAAAGCGCCTTCTACCACTACTGCGGCTGCGTTGACAAATATTGCTCCAAAGAAGGCGGGAGTTGCGGCTTCAAAGGCGCCTGCACCTAGCAAACCGACGGCAATGCGAAATGGAACAGTGCCATCCACGAAAACGCAAGTCAAGTAAGTAGTGGACTACTTTGATTTCTTAACGTCTTATTATCTCCCCATTTTAATAGCTTAAAGCATCGCATTTTTATTCTAATCAGAAAGGTGATTTTGCTAGGGTTCATGATTCACAGATGGGTTGATACTTCCCGATGTGTTGTGTGTGTTAACAAATCTCCGGATTCACTTGAAATGGTCTTTATTCCATTCTTGTGTCATTCCAATGAGTCGTGGTTAAAACTCCTTATGAACAATTTACTGCTGCACACGCAGCCATAGATTTAGTGGTGGGCATTTCTGGGATTGAGAATTGCGGTGAAATAACTCCGAAGCCCTTTGAAGTAAATCTCTTCCAAACAACCAGTTTGCGTGAAGTAATATTCTGAAGCCTCTCTCGTTTTCCTTGACCCGTTTCTGTTGGCTATGCTTTTCAATAAATATATGTCCATGAATATCAATTACTAAAATTTGAGAATGGTCCGTGTATTGGAATAAGTGTTTAACAAACCTGATCCAGTACATCAATTTGAATATTGCGCACTTGGCGTTAATGAGTGCCCTTAACATAAATATCTGAGAAGAAAACCTAGATTTATTAGTTACCGTTGCTTAAAGCCCTAAGTATGTTGGGAGTGGATGGTTTGGCGTGGTGTGGTGTGGTATCACCGTTTTTTACTGGAAGTTACCAAGATCTACCCCATCAGACTCATTGAACTTATTGCGAATTAATTGGACGAGCTTAAAAATTAAATTTTTCTTTGTTTATCAAGTCTACACGTAATTTCACACTTGGGCAACTTTAGACTGTGACTGTTTTGCAGAAATCACTGATGTGAAAACCGAAATTCAAGCTTTAAAGCTCTAACCGAGTTATTATAACCTATTCATCATTTTATCAGATGACGCTCTGTTTAGTAATACACAATCATTTTATTTAAACCTCATAGTATAATAACTTTATTCCATTGAAATGAGCTCATTCCGTTCCGTTCTCAAAAACCTCGTTACCATCGTCCTTGGTGACATCGAATAGGGCATTAAAAGACGAACAAACTCTTAAACAATTCTCTTAAACTCTTAAACACTGCTAAATGCAAGAGCCTAAGGAGAGTTAAGATTTTCTACTGATGAAGGTAGAAGAGTGCTCTTTCTAGCACTTCCAGCAGATGTGTTTTATTTCCTCGATGTTAAAAAGCTTTTTCAGGGGGGGGGGGTAATTACAGGCAACTATGCGTCATTAAGTGGTAGTAATAGTAGTAGCGGTGCGGTAAGTGAGAGAGGAGCCATCTTCTACTAGCAGCCTACCCTCGCCCACGCATTGCAGAGATAGTCAGCCAGCAATTGGCTTGCAACTCGTGCCATTTGGCAGGTCAGCCAACCAATTAGAGTTGAAATACGCCATTCACGCCTAAAATCTGACTACTTACGACGACCAATTTGAGTCGCACTCTGCGTCACTTTTGACAACATGGCGCTTGTGTTCTACTTGGCCTACGGGCATGAAGGTCTATTATTCCTTAAAAAAGTGTCATGTAGTCTTACCCAAAGCCCAACGGTTATTTTTTGCCACGTTACGTAATAGAGGAATATTAAAATATTGAATTTATTTATTTATATCAAATGGCAGGCGTTTTGAGGGTTATCATTAACCCTATAGCTGACTTCGGGCTTCATAGAGGAGGAGGCGCATCAAAGTGACAAAAGGTCGAGAGAAGGGGGGACAGAAAAGTGATTCACAGATGTAAAAGAGACAGACATAAAGGTAGAAAAAAGGTGAGGTGAATACTGTGGAAGTAGTCGAATATAACGTATAGTGAGGTGATGGTAGTTTGAAGTCAGAAGTCAACTGCCGAATAATAGACTTTTTGCCGTATGTGTATGCATTGCTCAGGGTGCACCACGTAGAGACAAGTCTATAGCACACCTCATAGTGCGTATATAAAACAGGTTCAACGGAGAAGGTTTTGCCATTTTCTGTGTGTTTTCTATCCATTCATTTGGTTTTGCATAAAGTCGGCAAAGTGTGAGGCATCTGTAGCCGTCCGATTTTAGGAAAGTTAATTTTCTCACCGACGAGGTGTTACTCTTCACTTTATATTTATTTATTGTTTCTTTTAGTGAATAATTAACATTTCTACTGGAATTAGCGCTATGGTTGGTTAGAGGAAGATCATTTTATTTTACAACGTGAGGAATCGATTTTTAATCGGGTTTTATAGCCACTTGTGTTTTTTAAAACCATTCACGCCACGCCGGATTTGTATTTGGGTGGCAGTTACACTTTTCAGCTCACAGGGGTTGTGTGGGGGGGGGGTTAGGGGTAGACTAGTAAATCATTTTTACCTTTTAAATTTAAGTCCTCTCTGAGGCCATTTTTCATGCAATTGAATTTTAACAATTTTCAAGTAAAATGAATTATTCTATACACATTCAAATTCCGGCAACAACAAAAAATGTCTTTCCACCACCGGTTCATTTTGAGTGGTATTTCACTAAATCCGTGCAAAGAAATAAACGTGGAGTTTTCACATCCGGTAGGAGTGGAAAGTTGGGTAAAAAGACTAGTAGCTTAAAGGTCTTGAGATTTGGTTCTCAGCTTCGCAGCTCCAAGTCCTTGTGAGATAGGAGTTCATAATATTGATATGATATGGGTTCATTTATTGTGTGTGGAAGATTTTATGAATGGACTAATAGTAGTGCCCGTGGTTAGTTTTGGGTCATCTTATTTGTGCATATAGTGAATAACAAAATCTCCCAGTTCTTGGTTTTCTTTTAGCGGAGTTGCAAAAAATACAGCAACAGCTGCTACCAAGCCAACTCATACTGCTGCCAAACCGTTGCCTACTAAGTCTACAACTTCTTCTTTGCGACCTACTACTGCCACAAGAACCACGACAGTACCTATGTCTCGTCCAGCAACAGGAACTACCAAGCCTTCAACCACTTCCACTGCTGCTTCAAAACCCTCCTCAACTACTTCAAGGACTGCGCTTTCTAGGCCTGCCACTGCATCAACACAAAAGACTGCAGCAGCACGCCCAACGCCTAGAGCTCCAACTAAACCTATGGCAGCTGCTACTAAGGCAACAACGCCAATCAAGAAATCCTCCATCTCTAAAACTGAGGCAAAATTGACTGAACACGCTGCAAAAGTTGCAGCCAAGACAGCAAGTTCTACCGCTGCTTCAAAGCCTGGACATGAAATCATGTATGCTCCTGCAGGCCGACCTTCTAATCTTCCTCCACGACGTAAAGTGGGTGAGAAAACAGTTATGGAGGAGTTGAATGAATTGCCTGAAGAGGTGATTAAGAGTACTTCCATGGTTGATAGTCTAGCAGTAGAACCAATGAAGCAAGAAGTAATAGAGAGTCATGAAGGATCAGAGGGCCAAGTCTCTTATCCAGATAGCTTGAGAGCAGACGAAGAAAGGCACGAGGCTGCTGCAAAGTCTCCCGAAATGGAACTTCCATTCAATGGTGTTGAACAACAGAATGAGGTGGAGCCTGCTCATACTGAAGAGTCTCTCAAAGTTACCTCAGATATTCCAGAGACCTTTGAAATGACTCAGTCACCGGAAATGGAATTTGACCAACAGGAGGCAGAAGAGGTGCCTTCGAAATTACCAGAGCATGAAGATCACGAACCCTTGAACTCTCCTGAAGTAACATTGTCAAAGTCACCTGCACGAATGGATTTCAACTTGCCACCTTCTGGTTATGAGGAGGTAGAAGTTTCAAAATCTCCTCTAGAAAGTTCTCAGGAAGAATCGATCTCTAAATTTCCCAGTGAGGCTATGCCTCCTGTCCATCATACCGAATTTGAAATGCAGCAACAAGAAACATCGCCTGAAAATAACTTTGGAATGAAGTCTCCAGAAGACATCCACGAAGAGGAAACTTCGAAATCTCCTTTTGCCGAAATGCAGTTCGCTGTTCCACCGGGACATTCTGGTGATGCTGACCAGTCAAAATCTTCGGAAGCAGAGATCCCTCGCGACCATCAATATTCAGAAGGTTTAATTTCGCCGAAGACTCAACTACACGAAGAAGCAATAGCCAACTCTTCTACTGAAGTGGCTTTCTCTTCGCCATCTGATCCTCTAGAGTCGCAAGGAGAGGTGCTGCATCAAGAAGGATTGTCGAAATTTCCGATGGAAACCGAGTTTTCTATTCCGCCTGAAGCGGTTAACCATCCCATGGTAATTGAAACGTCGAAATCGCCAGTCGAACAGTTCCTTGAAGAACTTTCACAGGAACACCTAAATGACTTCCATACGTCGGAGTCACCGGTTGAACATCATGACATAACTTCCGCGGAACAGACTTATGAGCCACAATTCCATGGCGATTTGTCTAAATCACCTGGTTCTATGGATTTTATGTCTCATGAACATCAGGTTGAACCCCAATTCTCGAAATCGGCAGTTGAACAAGACGATATTTCTCATGAGCAGCAGGCTCTTGAAGCTCATTTTTCTGAGGTACCTTCTGAATCACCTGCCACCATGGCCTTCACTATGCCCCTGTCACATGAAAGTGACTCCCATATACCGATGTCTCCTGTTGAACATCTCGAAATTCCACAGACTGAAGTTAATTCTGAGCAACAGGTCCCTGAAGAATTGTCTAATTCACCTGCTTGTATGGACTTCACAATGCCTCCAGCTCATTTAGATGATTCCCATATGTTGAGATCACCTGTTGAACAACACTTAATTCCACAAACGGAACAGACTTCTGAACAGCAGATCCATGAAGAACTGGCTAAATCTCCAGCAGGAATGAATTTCTCATCGCCTCATGAATATCGTGATGAATTTGTTATATCGAACACCCCAGTTGAGCACCACGAACTTGCCCAGAAGGAACAAACACCTGATTTTGAATTCCAGGAAGAACGATCGAAATCTCCAGCTGGAATGGACTTTACCTTGTCATCATCTCATCAGAGTGATTTCATCGCTTCAAAATCTCCTGAACAACACGAATCTCTTTTGATGGCTCAATCCCCTGAAGCTGAACATCAATTGCATGAAGAATTTCTGGTCTCTCCTGCTACGAATGCGGAGCATCAAGATAGCTTCCATATGTCAAAGTCTCCAAATGATCGTTATGAAATGAAACCATTTCACGAACAGCCATCCGAATCTCTTGGTAGGATGGATCTCTCTCCTAATCAAGTACACCCTGAATTCGCCTCGTCAATACCTCCTCAAGAGGAGCTTGATGAGTCAAGGTCTTCATTGCACCAGCAATTGTCTAAATCTCCATCTCTTGGAGTAGAACAACAAGAAGAGCATCACGAAGATCTCGGATTGTCAAATTCGCCATTTGGTAATGCTCATCAGAGTTCAGATTTAGTTAATCCATTCTCTCAAGAACCTAATTTCGAAATGTCTCAAGGAGATGTACCCATCGATCCGTATGGATCATTAAAAACATCAAATAATCCCTTCGAACTATCTAAATCTCCAGCTGAAGGACAATTCGGGATTTCTCCAGACGTGGAGGCTCATAAGAACCTAGAGTCTGTTCATTCACCTGTCGGAGGAATTGAAATTGTTGGTCATCAACAAATCGATGCGTCGGCCACGTCAGGTTCCTACGGTTCAGATATTGATTCTAGACCTCCCATGGATTATCATATTCACCATAGTGGAGATGGAATGCGATTCGGTGACTTTGGGTCTTCTCCAGATCAGCAAAATCCAGCTTCAACAACTGCTGAGGATGAGTACCCCGTCCATGAAGTTAATCTGGGTGGTGGAATGGCTATTCCAGAAGTTGCTGATCATATAGATTCCGCGGGAGCTACTATTCATGGTGATGATCCCTATCAATCTCACAGTTCACAGTACAATCCTCAATTGGCCGATTCAACAACAACTGAAGCTGCACCTAATTTTGGCCGCACTCATCCCCCTGAAATTGGGTTTATGGATCTTGAATCTCTTGGCAAAGCGCAAGAAGAGAAGTAAGATAAATTATTTTGATAATTTACTAGGAATTATCATTCTCATTTCTTTTCATATGGAGAGTGAAAAAATTATCTAACATGTGCTGGAAAGAGCTTTGTTAGTTAGAGCACTCAAGATTATGCTTGAAGTTTAGCAAGAAATAGCAGTATACGAAAAAGTTGCACAACCATATGGTTCTAAGAGTTTTCACAGTGGGCCCGACATACTTTGTCTGAGAAGCCCACATAGTACCAACCCCTTGTCGAACGGTTTCGAACTAAATATCATCTTAACGGGACTGATTTGCACTAGATCGATTAATATTTTATGTCGCTTTCTTAACTTGTCTCCGCCTTAATTGTTCATTTGTTTTATAATTAAGCATTCACAGTCCCAGCTCGGAGGTTTCTAATGACTCTGTGATCCATACTGGTATTGGCGGAAAACCCATTCCTCCTGGATTTATCCCTGAAACGGTTTCGTCAACTTCGCCTCAAGCTCCTCCTACTGGTTCGAGCACTGTGTCGCCAACTTCTGGTTTTACCAGTGAGCATCCATTCCTTTACAAAGATCAGCGTATAGAGGGACTTGAACATGATTCTAGTGCTATGACCGGCGCTGTACTCATCCAGAAGTCTTCACCAAGTAATATGCACAATGCTATCTATAGGGCTTTTCGATCGAAACATTAACTTAAGTGCCCCTAATTCCGCCAAAGGGAGAAGATTATAGTCTAGCGTTAGATCTAATAAGTGCTATTATTGAATTCCATTTTACTATCACTCACCCAGGACATATAGAAAGAATTCAATGCTTCAAATTGATTTAAACGCCTTTACGTTCACTATTTACCATAGTCAAGCCACCTTCTCCCAACGGAACCAACGGAGTGACAGAAACCAACGGTTCTTCGGAAAAGTCGGCGGACAATAATGGAGTAGGTGTAGCGACTACTGTCGAGGATAATTCCGCAGGCTTTGATCCTCTTTTGCAGTGGGGCCCACCTCAAGGTATGCCCGCGCCTATTTCAACTGCACGGGGTCCAACAGCATTGGGTAAGTCGATACCCACTAGTTCCCCAAATTTGATGTGATTTTGGAATTAATTTATGACTCTTTCTTTCAGCTCGCACTTCCAGAACATCAACTTCTAGTAGGGCGTCAACTCATGGTGAGTACCCATCTTCGCCCAGTTTATAAAAGTATACGTTTAAATGATGGCCTGCACCAATAACTATCCTCATATGTGTTCAGTGTAATAATTCAGTTAACACTTTAAATAGCCAATCCTTCGGTTGACCATTTACCGTAAATCCCTAAACATTTTCACGAAGGTGATAATCCTTGGCAGCGAAGCGCATCTGTTTTGGTTAGAAATTATTACTATTATTACTATTATACCAAATGGTAGGCATCTTGATAGTTATCATTAGCCCTATAATTGACTTCGGGCTTCGTAGAGGGGAAGGAACATCAAAGCGAAAAAAATCGAGATTGGAAGGGAACAGAAAAGTGTTTCAAAGATGTAAAAGAGACAGACACAAAGGTAGAGAAAACGTTAAGGTGAGGTGAGTACTGTGAAGTAGTCGAATATGTCATACAGTGGGGTCATGGTAGTTAGAAGTCAGAAGCCAACTGCCCGTTAATAGACTTTTTTGCCGTATGAGTATGTGTTACCCAGGGTGTACCACGTGGAGGTAAATCTATCGCACACCCCGTTTTGGGTAGAAATTATGAGTGCTTTACCAATTCCAACTAGGGTAAAACGGTCGAGAATTCAGTGAATTGGTAAGAAGGCAATTGATTCACCTCAATTTCACGATTTTCATCATAATTACAGGCCTATATTCGTCGAAAGGTGGATGAAAAGGAATATTTTTATCCTAAAGGGCAATAGGGCAACAATTTGGCATATTTTGAGCCTTTACTGGGCGTAATTCCGTGGAAAATGGGAAAAGTAGTATTTACCTCGGCGAATTGGGACTATTTGAAAGACTTTCAAAGCAATATACGTTTTTACGCACAAATGTAAGCAAATGTGTAGGGTATAAGTCCCTTCGTTTGTAAGTTTTGTAGCGCAAATTACTAGTGTCATGAAGACTTCGATGGTATTGTCGTATTCATTCAATACCTCTGTTGGTACCACTTAGGAGACTTGTACCTTTCTTATTGCAGTATGTAAATGTACTTTACCTGCCCAAAATTGTTTGTGAGTGACGGGGAAGGAGAAGGTAAAAGAATAAGGGTCCAAAAGTGTCACTAACTCTGATCTTCTCAGTATTATGCCGTTTCTCGTAGACTAATTTCAATAACAAGACCTTCTCATCGCCAGCCCCAATACAATGTATAGCGGAGATCAAATAGACGCGTCTAGTAAATAGCATGGAAAAAAGGAGACTGTGTTTCCATGGATCTGTTTGCCACGTGTGTTAACAGGCAGTTTATTAACTGAATATGATTAGTTGGGAGTATATTCCGCTCTTTAACTTAGAGTCATGTTGCATAAACTCATATTTCTATATAATTTAATGCCAAGAGAGTAACTCGTCTCTGGACAAGTTCAAAATGTCAACTGGTAACGAGGAGATCATAAATGTTACACTAGTCCCCCTCCTCATTTCAGGTACCAAAACGTCTACCAATGGTCCAGCTTCTATAACTTTAAAAGCACCTGAAAATCTCACACCCGGCCCTCCCATCTTGATTGATGTTATCTGGGTTCCAGGCTACATAATCCGTGTGCCTTTCGCCATGGCGACGCAATTCTTCACTCAGGTTCGTGCCCGTGTCTACGTCCTCTCAGGCGAATGTCTTCATCCTATCACTGGAGAGGCTCTCATTGCTGGTGTCTCAAAATGGACTCCTGAAGGTTAGTTTAGCCTCTTTTTTCTCACAAGGTTAAGAGAAATAGGTTCTGGAATAAACTTGAGATTTAGTAAACCCGCCCACATAAATATACAACTAACCATGCTGTATTTGTTACTACTGCCTTTCGCCATCCAACAGGCTGGAAAACATTCAGTCACTGGGACGCAGAACTTATTGCGAAGGGGCACTAACACAAGATTTGCAAGACTGTTTTGAGAGTAGTTCAATTGTAAGACTTAATTTATTCCTCTTTAGAACGCGAAGCCGTTTCCAAACTTAGTGGAGGTAGAGGTATTGAGAGTATCACCGTAGTCCCCACTGATGAACCCCTTGAATGGGTCCGTTGGTTGCGCCGAAGTGCCGGAGGCGGTGGGAACACAGGAACTGGTGAAGAACGCCTTCAAGCAGCCGGTCTCACAGTTCAGACCTCGGCTACCCTCTGTGACATTCATTTCTCCGACAACAGCTCTGAAATCACTTGCCCTGGTACTCAACTGTTGATCTAGACAGCGTTTCCAGCTGATATTCACCTTTCTTTCATGTTCTCCCACCCATTTTAATCACTGCGCATTTTCGTCTATCACTCCTTCTCCTTTGATCCCTTGTGTTTGAGTTGTTTTTTTTTCTCCGATTTTGTTTTTTTTTGGCCATCTCTTCACTTTCACATTTGACGTTTTTTGTCTGCTTTACACAACTCGCTTAACAAAAACCTTTCTTCTTTCTTCTCAATATGTGCTGTATTCCTTTTGCCCGCCATTATCTATCATGTTTGCGTGCCTGAAAAAAGGAGCAGTCGACAGATGGATAAAAATCGGATCGTGAAATAAGCTTCCGTAAAGGCTAGATAAGGGCGTCAAATATATTGATAAAATAATGATCATGATGTGAAATCAAATAAAAAAAATAAACATTGCCTTGCTTTGTGTCATTGTAGGCTGAAAAATGGGCATATGGCCTACGCATTCTGTGTCTGTCTGAGCTTCAGGACGTTAACAAATAGACAAAGCATCTTCGTGGAGCTGGGGCTTGGGAATCGAAGCAGCGCCTATAGACTCGAGTAATTGACAAGTCGTTAGGGGTGATATCGGCTCGAGTATTTATTTATTTATATTAAATGGTAAGCTTTACGATAGTTATCATTTAGTCCTCGAGTTGACTTCAGGCTCCACAGAGGAGAGGACCACCAGTCATAAAATGTCGAGAGTGAGGGGGAGGGGGAGGGGAACAGAAGGGTGAATCACAGATACAAAAGAGACAGACACAAAGGTAGAGAAAAAGGTAAGGTGAGTACTGGAGAAGTGGTTAAATATGACGTACAGTCGGGTCATGGTAGTTTGTAATCAACTGCCGTTTAACTAGACTTGCCGGATGAGTATATGCGGCCCAGGATGCACCATGTGGAGGCAAGTATCACGAACCTCTCGGAGTGGGTTGCCCCGAAACAAAGGCATGCACACAATTCGGCTGTGGGGTCTGTTGGCACTTTTATCAATTATGTTTGACTCAAGAAGACAAGTAGTCCAATCTCAAGAAATTCATGATGAAAGTGGTTTTTTACGATTAACACAAAGTCGAGTGTTTATCAATCTAATTTAGAGTTATAGTTGAGATGTTACTTCACAGATTTGAACTTGGTGTAAACTAGGGTGTGTTTTTGGTCACGTAATTAACTCGTAAGTCATTTCAGGAGAGAAAAAATTTAACCATACCTTTTTATTTTTAGATTTATAAATTTGTTTTGGCACAAAATTGGCCTGATGACATTTAATAAGGTGGAAAGATTCTTTTTCGTAAATTAACTCTATCAGTGTAACGTTGTTATAAATGTTTGACAATTGCCTTCGCAAATTTCCTCTAGCAAACTAGCTTGAATCAATTCCTTTTAGCAGTAAAACGGAATCTATGATAAACTTATTTGTATCAAATGACTGTCCTTATGATAGTTATCATTATCCCTTTAGCTGGCTTCGGGCTTCACGGAGAGGAGTAGGAACATTATAGTGACAAAAAGTCGAGTGGGGGGTGGGGACAGAATAATGATTCACAAATGTAAAAGAGACAGACAGAGAAAAGGTAGAATGAGTACTGTGAAAGGGGTTGAATATGGCACACAGTGGGGTCATGGTAGTTTGAAGTCAGAAGTTAACTGCCTGCTTATAGACTTTTTTTGATGTATAAGTATACGTTGCCCAGGGTACACCACGTGGAGGTAAGTCTACCGCTCAGCCCACCTATAAGAAATTGGTAGCCTCCTATTGGCGGAAAAAAGGAATTAGATGCAAAACTTTGAATAGGGCAATTCCTGGCAATCAGTTCATCGGTCTCTGAGCTCTTACGACCCTCCTGGCAAAATGTAAAGCGTTCACATTTTTATTGCAAATGTATTTTTGAATTTCTAATAAAATACGCAAGGGTTTCCATAGGATGATTTTCATGTATGACTTAGAGATAAAGTGCAAATAGGATTTTATAGACGTGTTGCAGTGTGTTCAATCGTAAACGGAGTCATTAAAAGCCAATTTGAGGAAGTTTATTCTACGATGCATTTTAGTAGTTTTTTTAAAAAAACATGAACTTACTCGAGCCGACGAAAATGATAGATCCATAAAAGTGAATTGAAAATTTCTGATGCGTAAATCATGATAAGGCGTTAGCAAGTTTTTGTTTTTTTTCAGAAGTTTAATCGTAGTATGAAGGATTCTGAGCTTAATATCCTACGGACATAGCAATGCTATGGATACAACGTCGAAGTGACACTAGAACATTGACCTAAATTAATTTTAGATTGGTGTCAGCGAGACAACTTCAAAGGGAATCACAAGAATACAACGTTTCACCTTAAGAATAATGGATTTCGTAGGATTCCCATCAGATTAATCCATCACCCCATACAAGTGTAACTGACTGAATTTTTACACATATTGAGACAAGGTTTCTCTTAAGAAAGAAAATTAATATCATGAATCGGCTGCATTTAACCGCAAATTCACACCCTCATTTGAAACAGCCTAATGTCCGGAATTGAATAATCGATTAAAGGCAAATTAAAATTTTATTTCCATTTCTGAGAGCTGTGAAGAACAACTTTCCGAGCCTTCACATGTTGAAAAAGTTAACCACCCACCAAGTACCACCAACTTTTGGGAAACTACGCCAATTCACTTGGTGGGATTTCCCAAATCCTATTGCGACGAGTGTTCATTTTCTACTCTTCCTTGTCCTTTTGCGTAGTTCTTCCCCTCTAATGTTTCCATCTACCTCACTGTGTTCATTCGCAGATGTTATTGCTAAAATATGTTCTGGTATGGAGTTCGGGTGATGCTTAATTGAGAGGGGACTCGTCTGGTTGTTTCTGGAGGACTTCTTGGCAGAATTTCGTGAACACGTGGTCTATTTCCTGGTGAACAAACTGCATGCACACATTTGCATTTGGCATTAGTGACTGAATCTATAGATATAAATGTACCAATGACAAAAATGACTATAGATATATTGTTGTCAGGCTCTCATCTAACATTGCAATCGATTAGCATCCCAAGCCACTTTCAACAATATGCACTGTTTGCTCGATCGAAAAGGGTATTCTGTGGGACTGTGCTTGCAAGCAATATGAACTGGTGTCAACGCAACACAGAACAATTCTCAGTTGACACTAAATGGTCACTGTACATCACTCCACCCTTTAAAAGCATTCAGTTTCACTTTCTTTGTGATACTGCGCACGCACACAGCGCAGTCGGTCACACTGTAAATATGATTGGTGGGGCTTTGGAAGTGCAATCTTCTAAGGACTTTCTATTAGTCTATACTAACACGCATGGGGTGTGCGATGGACTTACCTCCACGTGGTGTACCCTGGGCAACGTATACTCACACCTTACCTCCACGTGGTGCACCCTGGGCAACGTATTCTCATTCGGCTACCTCCACGTGGTGCACCCTGGGCAATGTATACTCATACACCTCCACGTGGTGCACCCTGGGCAACGTATACTCACGATAGACTTACCTCCAGGTGGTGCACCCTGGACAACGTATACTCAAACGGCACCTCCACGTGGTGTACCCTGGGCAACGTATACTCATACGACAAAATAGCTTTTAATCGGCAGTTGACTTCTTTCTTCTAACTACCAACACCCCACTGTATGTCATAATCGACTACTTCCACAGTACTCACCTCACCTTTTTTCTACCTTTATGTCTGTCTCTTTTACATCTGACTGTACTTGCAAGCAATATGAACTGATGTCAACGCAACACAGAATAATTTTCAGTTGGCACTAAATGGTCACTGTACATCACTCCACCCTTTACAAGCACTCAGTTTCACTTTCTTTGTGTTTCTGCGCACACAGGACTTCTCTCGGTCACACTGTACATAGGATTGGTGGGGCTTTGGATGGGGAATCTTTTCTTGGTCATAATTAAAAGAAAATTTGATCGCACCTTCCTTAACTTTCCTTTTTAATATTTTAATCAATTCAATTAAGCAAATATTATTTGGGCTTAATAGAATTAGAATTGCTTTAGTTATTAGTAATAAATTTTTTTGTATTTCTATTAACGATCTCTAATGGAATTAGTTTCAAAGTCGACATAATTAAAGACCATTTCACAGTATTTATTTATATACATCAAATGGTAGGCGTTTTGATAATTATCATTAGCACTTTAGTTGACTTTGGGCTTCAGAGAGAGGAGGAGGAACATCAAAGTGAGAAAAATTCGAGAGGGGAAGCAGATGAGTGTTACATTGATGTAAAAGAGATAGACAGGCAGACAGACACGAAAGCAGAGAAAAGGTAAGATAAGTACTCTGGAAGGGTCGAATATGGTATGGTAATTTGAAGTCGGAAGTCAACTGTCTGTTTATAGACTCTTTGCGGTATGAGTATACGTTGCCCAGGGTGCACCACGTGGAGGTAAGTCTTTGTTTATATAATGAAATGGGTTGTGGGATGATTTCACCTCTGTAACATCTCGACAAAAACCAAGCCTCCTTACATTAGAGATTTCTTCTAAAGCTAGTAGAATATACGAGATTTCTTCGACTATTGAGATCTTTCAGTGGCGAAAAATACCAATACCACTATATATAAAACGAACAAAAATTGTGTATTTCAAAAAATTCTGTTTCCACATTCACAATTTTTTCTCAAATTTAAATCATTTTAGAAAGTGCTCCTTTCTCTACAACCTAATGCCTCTAACTTTGTCATAAAATTTGGCTACAATCTCCTTCTCGTTAGGAATGTTATTACCCATAATCC